TCAAGATTCACAATAGCTCCCTACCTCCTACCACAGCAAGCCTAGCTTCCTCCTCCTTTTCAGGTTTTCCCTAATCTGGCCTGACCCTTTACCTCCACCTTGATTTCCCAACATGCCTCCTCTGTTCCAGAAAGGCCTCAAAGCTGTATTTCTCTCCCTGCCCTCCCCTGCTCCCTATCCCAAGCTCTTCCCAACCTATACCTTGGGTCACACCATTTTCACCACCTAGAATGTCTTGCCTCTTGCCTTGTATGTTGCATCCCTTGGGATCCAGAGTAGTTTCTGCCCTGCCCTGAAGCCCTGGGTCCTGCAGGCCAGGTATACCTCCTTACCTCTCTTTAGCAATTACAGAGCTTACCATGAATTACTCAAGTTCATGGCATGGAACAAGTCTCCACAGCTACACTGGAAAGCCCCAGGGACGAGGGTCCCATCCGTTACTTCTCTGTGTCCCTAGTACCTCGAAAGCACTGTGCCCCGTATGGCAAGTATCCGAGGAACACACAGAGATGGATGACCAGCAAGAGGGCAGCCTGTATCGGGGGACCTCCCTGAGGAAGGTTTCCAGGAGGAAGCACGTTCTGAGGAAAGTTTTGAGCTAAAGGATAGTGACAACCCAAGCACCCTCTGACACAGGGGCTGGAAAGCTTATTCTAGAAGAAGCCAGAAAATAAGTATCTTAGGCTTAGCTGGCCATACTGTCTATAGGGCAGCTACTCAGTCTGCCCTTGCAGCACGAATCAGCCATAGGTCATACTTGAATGAATGGGCATGTCTGTGTCCCAGGGAGACCCAGTTACAAAAACAGGCAATGAGTAGATTTGGCCCATAGGTCACAGTTTGCCCACCCTTCCATAAAGCAAGACTGTGGTTTTGCCGAAGCATGAGCCCCGTAATGACCTGCCCAGGGGGACAGAGGAGCCCTGGTTCCAGCCCGTTCCCGCGTGGGCCACCCTTCTTCTGAGGCACTCCATTCAGCTAACCTGGACCTGCATGCACAGCCCCCCTGCCCAACCCCGGGCTGAGTTCCCACAGCCCCCCATGAGCCAGGTGTCCCGTCCACACCCACAGGATTGATGGAAACACAGCCCTCCACAGGGACATCTACCCGTCAGTCAGTCTCCAGATCCAGAAGAACTTTGCCAAGAGCAAGTGGAGGGTAAGTTGCCCTTTGCAGGAGGTAGGCAGGCTGTTCCAGGCCCCTGGAGGCTGAGCTGGGGCAGGGCTGGCGTAGGGGCTTTCCCCGGGGCTTCCCGCTCACACTGGACCTCCCTGGACCCTCTCTGAAGTGAGACGTGGGCACATCAGTTTCAAGAAGCCGAGGCTGAGGGGCAAAGGGAAAGCTTGAGCCCCATGGCCCTCCGAGAGAGGGTCAGAGGCTGGTGTGGTGTGTCCTCAGCAAGCCTTCAACGCGGCCGCTGTGGTCCACCACATGAGGAAGCTGCACATGAACCTGCACAGCCCAGGCCTCCGCCCGGAGGTGGAAAACAGGCCACCCAGCACTCCAGCCTCAGAAGCCTCGAGACCCGGCCCCTCTGAGATCACCATCACCGAGGCCCCGGCCCTGGACCAGAGCGTGGCCCTTCCCGCCCTGGCGCGGCTGCCCTGCCGGCCCCCCGGGGGCAGGTCCCTCAACTGCCTGGTCAACGGCTCGCTCCGCATCAGCAGCAGCCTGGTGCCCATGCAGCAGGGGCCCCTGGCCGCTGGGCCCTGCAGCTGCTGTTCCAGCTGCCTGAGCATCGGAAGCAAAGGGAAGTCCTCCTACTGCTCCGAGCCCACGCTCCTCAAAAAAGCCAACAAAAAACAGTACGTATCTTCAGCCAGACACAGAGGCCTCACCTTGCTCAGGCAACAGGGCTGAAAGAAAGTGGCCAAAGGGAGCCGGGCCTGCAGGATGGGAAGAGCTCTGGGTCAAGGGGCTGAGGGAAATGCCTCCAGTCCTGTCCCTACCACTAGCTGTGTGGCTACCAGCCGATCAGTCGATGTCTCTGTTTCTGGTTTGCCCATCTGTGAGATCACAGCCGCCTGCTCAGCCTACCTCACCAAGCTACTTAAAAGTTGAGTGAAGCAACAGGAATTATAAATGCCTGCAGAAAACCGAGTACATGTCAGTGGGGGGGGGGGGGACACTAGATTTCTGGAGTTTCCAGAACCATTGTGTTTTGGGGGGCAAAGTGGGACTTCATTGTCATCCTCGCCCTTTCTGCAAGGGCTCGTACTTTCGGAACCTGACGGAGGGGAGGCCGAGTGGAGGCCACAGGCACGGAGAGCTCCCCCCGCCCCGCCAGCTCTTCTCCCTTCCCCAAACACTTCACAGCCCCCCCGCCTCATTTGCTTTCCAGGAACTACAAATCAGAGGTCATGGTGCCAGTTAAAGCGGGAGGCGGTTCCCACTGCCGGGCCGGGCAGACTGGAGTCTGTCTCATTATGTGATCCCTGGAGCCCACGCCTGTGTCGATTTTCAGGTGAGGTGACAGAGGTGGGAGGGCCAGGGCAGGGGGCTGTCCCAGAAGGCCAGCCCCATCACAGAGCTGAACGAACGGGGCTGAGGGGCGCCGGGAGCCACAGGCCCACCCCCACCCTGAACCCCTTTCCTCTGCAGGAGAGACGTGCAACTCTTCTCTGCCTTCCCAACCTGGCGTCCACCCTGCAGCGCAGGAAGGCGGAGCGGGCGGAGCAGGGCCTGGCAGGAGTTTACGGTGAGAAGCCCTGGGCTGCTGCCGCCTGCGGCAGACCCTCCCAGAAGGCCCAGGAGCGAGCCCCCAAGGCGCGGAGGCCTCGTTGAAGCTGTGAGCAGGAGGAGCGGCGTCCACCCGCTTCCAGGTCTCCCTGACCTGCCTGCTCTGTGCCCCCACACCCTACGTGCCGTGACTCTGTGCAGTGAACTAGGTAGCTCTTGCCCGGGTCTGTGTCGTTTGTGATGAAAAGCTTCCTGGGCTGGCCAGGCTGTGTCACCTTCTCCGAGCAAAGCCATATGGAGCATCAACCCAGACTCCCGCTCAGCACACGCTCCTGCCTCGAGGCCTTCGTGCCCGTGGCCAGAACGGGCTCATTAATGTAGTCGCCTGCCCATCCGCATGAATGACAGGTGGCTCCGTGGTCTGCCTGTGAGCTCTCGAGTTCCAACCCTTGACTCCATGATTAGCTCCAAGGGGCCCAGCACACCTCCCTCCCTGCCCCAGGCCAAAAGCAGTACCACAGCCTTCCAGATGAAAAAGAAAGAAATCAAGGAGGGGCTGTAAGGGATTCTTATCCTGGCCAGACGCCTCACCCGCACCCGATTAAGTAAAAATTGGAAGTTGACTGTTTTCATTTCAGCTGGTAATTTTCATCCTGCTTCTGCTCTTCTGTCCCCGAAAATCAGGGGCATTATTCTTGTCCCTCCCTCGTTTTCTTGTACCCTTGCCCCCTCCAGCTTCACATTCGGTGTTGTGCTCAATAAAATGGACATATTTTTCTCTAGGAGGCTTCCTTTGGTTCTTCCTAAAGTCAGACGTGGCTCTGGGACGTCTGAGCCTGGGTGGAATGGCAAGTGTGCTGGGGCCTTGGGGTCAGGAGGAGCCTGGCAGGGCAGTGGCTGACACAGAGAGCATCGCGTGTGCCAGGTCCTACGTGACATGAGTTACATCTGTTGACTCATTTACTCCTCACAACTCCAGGGGTAGGCTCTGTTGGAGCCCAAGCAGTCAGGCTCCGGCATCCATTCTCCTAACAACTACATTAGGCGATCTAGATGATCGTGAATTTGAAGCCCTGCCCTCTGCCCTGCCACATCTGTGAGCTTCGGGGAGTAACACAGCCTTCTGTGCCTTGGCTTCCTCACTTGTCAAATGGGAACAGCAGGACCACCTGCATCATGAGATAACGCAGATGATGTATCTAGCACAGTGCTCAATAATTAATGTGATTAATAATGATCAAGAAAATGTAGATAAAATGCCTAGCACGGGGCACCTGGGTGGCTTGGTCAGTTAAGCGTCTGCCTTCAGCTCAGGTCATGATCCTGGAGTCCTGGGATCGAGTCCCACGAGGGGCTCTCTGCTCAGCAGGGAGCCTGCTTCTCCCTCTCGCTCTGCCCCTCTACCTGCTTGTGCTTTATTTCTCTGTCTCTGTCTCTCTCTCTCAAATAAAACCTTAAAAAAAATTTTTTTTAATTTTAAAAATGCCTAGCACATTGCACAGGCCGTGGTTAGCACACAGATATTCACACCATTTCCATATCTGCCGCAAACACAAATGCACATCCATTTGCAACTTCTCCTTGAGATCCCAAGAGACACAGATTCCGCCTCTGGAGCTGTGAGAATTTGGACATCATACTTCCCTTCTCTGGATTGCCATTTCCTCATCTGTGAATGAGCAACTGGATCACTGCTCAAAGACGGAAATCGTCTGGTCTCTCAAGGATGGGATCCTTTGGGTCCTGGGGCAAAGGGGTCCAGCCCCCCTAAGTTTGGTTGACGAGCAAGCTGGACTGAGCCAAGTGGGACAGCCTGTGCTTCATACACCTCTAGGCCTTGGGCTTGAGCAGAGGAGCACCCAGGAACCCCAGGTGGGAGACGGGAACAAGTGACAAAGGTGTACTTAATGGGGAGATGGACCATTTTCTCTCTCTCAACCTCCAGACTTCTTTCCAAAGATTTTTATTGGGCTTTTCATTTGTACATCATGTTTTTGTTAAGTTTTGGTGTTCATCCAGGATTCAGCCTCCATGGAAGATGAAGGGCAAGGACGCTGGCCGGCCAAGTGCGCCTCCACTTGAGAGCTCCTCGTCACAAGGACACGGCCCGCCTCCACCCTCTGTCTCTCAGATGTAATTTCCCATCAGCTCCGGCTCAGCTGCAGCCCAGAATAATCTTAACAGCTGCACTCCAGGGGCGGTCCGGGCTGTGCTTTAGGCTGTATAAAAGTCTCCTGGAGCCGGAAGGCATCCCAGCCCAGCCTGTCCTCCAAAAGTAAAGAGGGCAGATGAGCGGGGCTGGGGGCTGCAGGCTGGCGCATCACTTACAGGTGGCATAGTAGAGCACACGCCCGTTGATGTGGTCGCGGATCTGCTCCACGTGCTTCTCCAGCCCCGTCAGGTCTGCCGAGCGAAGCCTGATGGCCTGGCTCCCCCGAAGCAGCTCCGACTCCATGTCTGAGGGCAGATGGAACAGCAAGGGGAGGAGGAGCTGGTGAGATACCCAAAGACTCCCCAGCCTTCCTTCTCCTCCCACGACCTGGAGGCAGCACCTGCAGGAGAAATCACCTGGCAGGGGGAGGGCTGGACACTGAGGCAGCTCTCTCCAGCCTCACGGCTCTCCACCCCTCACAGCTCTCCACCCCTACCCCACTCTTAGAGAAGCCAGACCTAGGAAGGCCCTACCCTCCTCCTCTGCTCTAGGCTCTCTCAGTTGTCCGAGACTGATGAGGGAAACCACTGGCATCAAGATTAGCAACCTACGGGACACCTGGGTGACTCTGGGTTAAGCGGCTGCCTTTGGCTCAGGTCATGATCCCAGCGTCCCGGGATCGACCCCCGCATCAGGCTCCCTGCTCAGTGAGGAGTCTGCTTCTCCCTCTGCTCCTCACCTGGCTCTCGTACTCCCACCCCTCTCTCAAATAAATAAATTAAATCTTTACTTTAAAAAAAAAAAAAAAGATTACCAACCTCTGACTACTGGACTCAGCTGCCATCCCACCGATGATCCTCAAGTGGGCACCACGGCCAGAAAGCCGGCTGGGGGACCAGAATTCCTCCGCACTTTCCCTTCCCCAGTTACCACTTCAGATAAATCTAGTCGCCCCGCTCCGATCCAGTCCGTATGCCACCACTAGATGACGCGCGGAGGATGTGGAGGACTCCAAAGTGACCTAGTCCAGCCGGCCCTTCCTGTCACTCTAGGCCCTACCGCACTCACGAGAGCTGCCACCCAGCCTCAGCCTGAACTCTTCTAGGAATAGGGAGGGAGCGCGCTGCCTCACAAGGCTCCAGCTTTAGGCAGCTCTAGCTGTTAAAAGTCTTCTCACGAAGCCAGAATTTGACCAACTTCTGCTTCCACCCGGTTGTCTAAGGTCTGTCTCCTAGGGCTGTGGGAATATATTTGCTCTGTCTCCCACATGGAAGTCTTTCAAATGTCTGAGGCCACAGTTCTCAGATTAAATCTCCCTAGTTCCTTCACCCATTCCTCACCTGCTATAATGATCGTGCCTTCTCTACCTCCCAACCCTGGACGCCCCCCGCCCACGACAGGTGCAGGCTTGTCAGTCTCCCTTCTGAGGAGGAAGTAGCCACCACTGAATACCATCCGCCAGGTGAGATCCCACCCACAGAGGGTAACAGCAATGTTACTGGCCTGACATTCAGCCACTGGGCACCCATATGGACCTGCAGGTTGACCAAATATTGAAATTTTAGCAGCTGCTGTTGTGTTCCCTGGTCCCCATCCCCAGGACGCCATGCATGATTTCCCCAAAATCCTGCAATGAAAGGTAAATTCCTGCAGACAGGTAAATGCCTGTTCCATTGCTACAGCCTGAGCCTTTTCTGGCTCATAGATGTGTGACACACCAGTCACTAAAGATTTTTAATATCCCTGGATCATTACTCCTCTTACTTTGCATGCTTTGTATTTATTCGCTCTTTTGGCAGTTAGCAAGACTCTGCTAATTTCCATGGAGCTTACATCACTCAAAACCCTTGGGTAATTTTCAGGTGACCAACAATTCTTATTTGCTTATCACTCACCAGTTATGAAATGTTTTATCATTTTAGCAGTTATAAAGTGTTTTCAGGTACATTAGCCTCTGAGAAGCTAGGCCTCACCCGAGCTGTACTTGTGAGTTTAGGCCCAGATAAGGCCAGAGTAGAAGATGATAATACTTCTCTTTAATTTTACCCTGTTGGTTTCAGCCCATCCTTTTAGCCTTCTGAGATGGCCTTGGAGTAACTGATTCTGTTACCTAGAGTATTAACAACCTGTTGTCCACAGGTTTGAAAAACAAATTCTTTATCTTCGTGTAAAACATCGATGGACAAGGGCAGGGCGTGCACCCACCCAGCCCCTCAGCTCCTCCGTCCAGCTCAGCAGCTCACCCTTCAGGGACGGCTGGCCACAGCCTCCGATCTACCTGTCGTCAACTCACCTGCCCAACCTTCCCCATGGTGTCTACCTGCCTCACCAAACAGATTTTTGTCTCTTTCCTCTGAAATTCGGAGAAATTCTGTTTGTGCCATTCACTTGGGCACACCAGTGCACTGACCCGTCATCACATCTTAGACATTGAGCCCAGTTCCTGGAAATCCCTGTTCTCCCATCTGAAGAACCTCAGAACCCTTCTGAAAACGATTTTTTATGTCTCTGCCATATTCAAGACCTTTGGACGGTTCTCTGCTGTCTCCAGGGCTGAGCCTACCCTCCTCATGCTGGCATTGAGACCAGCCACCTGGACCCTGCCACAGTGACCCAATGCTACTTGTCTCCCACCCGTTCTGATCCTCATCACCCCTCCTCTCCTGGTGGGTGCGCCTGCCCCTATCCCCAGAACATGTCTTGTTGCTTCCCACCCACCCTGTCTTAACGTCCCTGCTTTTCCTCACAGCCTCCCCCCCAAGGCCTACACATCCTTCCAGGCCTATGTCAAATCTTATCTTTTCTGAACCTCACCTTCACCGAGCATTTCTCTCCAATAGAAATGTCTCTCCGCAGACTGCTTATTATGTGGGCTCCTATCATGGACCCCCTTGTGCTGTTAAATAGTTTCACACATCTTGCAGGTGGCCAGAAAAATGGCCCCCTCTGGATTGCAAGCTCTCGAGGGCAGGGCAAGTCTTACAAGTATCTCTGCATTCCCAACCGCCCCATCATTGTGCCTCCGACTTCCTGGATGCTTGGGAAAGCCCTACTGGTCTCGCCCCCTTAGCACGGCTAGTTCTGACAAGGGCGGGCCTCAGAAGCCCTGGTTGGCCAGGGACTGGCCCAGGGACAGTCCCAGGCCAGGAACTGGAACTGCTTCCTTGGCAAGAAGACCCCTTCCACG